TCTCCAAGGAGCTCCCATTCCTTTTTAAGTGGAGACTGTCACTTGAACACCAATACCTGGGTTTGAGGTGTGTAAAGTTGCTATGGAGGCCTCTTTGTATCTAGATCCTTTCGATGGATAGAGCTAAAATATATATCTATGTAGAGATGTCTATTCCTATTCTTACTCTATTCCTAGAGTTATGTGTGGATCTAGCTATCTAGATATACTTAGAAACTTATGTTTACACTGATACCTCTAATTCAATCCCATGAGATTCATGCTACTGTTCCTAATTTCTATATTATAACTTCCTTCTGAAACAGTGAAAAATGTAGTTTCATGCCCTCAATGGATGAACTTATTTGTTTTATGTTAAATCATGCTACTACTAGAACAAATGTATTTTTCAGTTCTTTCTGTTTTTAGAACAAGAGAAAATAGTACTGTGTTCAAATTTACTTAGGCTAGTTCTGTGTCCTCTTTACTGTGGTTGTGTTATTAATTTGAAACAGTAAGTTTTGTTTATTTCTATTTGCATTCCATTTTAGGTTTTTTCTCACTCATCATTATTAATTTGATTTGATGTTTCAGCATGTGATGCATTAGCATAGTTCCAAAAGTCCAAACTATAGAAAACCCATACAGAGAAATATTTCTCCTTCCCACAATCTCTTCCAGTCATGTTCTGTGGAGAGCCGACCTCGTTAGTTTTGGCTTTACCTTCCTGTGTTTCTTCTTGCAATAACAAACCAATGACATAGATTTCATTTATCTTGATTTTTTCTTTTAAAAAAAGGTAGTATGTTATATATACTCTATTATCCTTGGTTTCTTTTTCATTTAAAGATATTATTTTCACTTTAAACTCTTATCTTTTCTGGTTCATAGAGCTTTTCCCTTATTTTTTCACCACTTCATAACACTGTGGATGCACCATCATTTAATCATCTGTTCTTTTAAATATGGGCATTTCATTTATTCTCATTTTTGCAATATAAATGGGGCTGCAATAAATAGCCTTGTGCATATATATTTTATTTTGCTGAGATTGTCTTCAGAGAATACCTAGTGGTGGGATTACTGAGTCAACAGGTAAACATATATTTGGATGTTTAAAATATTGCCAAATTCCCTACTTGGGAATCCCATTTTGTATTCCCACCATCAAGGAGTGTTTTTGACAGTTGTCAAGCTTTTAAATTTTTTCCAATTGAATGAGAAAGAAAGGGTATCTCAGCCTGGCTTTCGTTTGATTTGCTTTTGTTATGAATACGGTTGAACATGTTTTTGAAAAGTTAAAGGCCGTTTTTTGTAGCTTATCTGGTAATATCTTCTATTTTTCTATCTCTTTTTTTAAAGAATTGTCAGGAAGAAATTGACATCTTTATAATTCTGCATCTTCCAAAAACAAAGGATGTTTTTGCATTTGGTCAATTAAACTTCTGAGTCTTTGAAGAGCTTTTTATTTTTTATTAGTGTTGCCTATTTCTTGTACAGTTTATTCACAAGTAGTTTATCTTCTGTGTTACTACTGTAAATAAGGTTTTTCTCCATCATTAAAACTACTACCAGACTATTATTTATGTATTTGAGAGCTGTTGGTTTCTGTGTAGTAACTTTATATCTTAACTTTTTTATTCTATGAATTAATTTTGTCTTTGATTCCCTTAGCTTTCCCAGGCATACTGTAATACATTTGTGCATTGAGGTAGCATCACTTCTTTTCCAAACTGTTTGTCTCTAATTGATTTCTCTCCTCTAACTGAAGCCTCTAATACTTCCGGTACAATAATACATTATTCCTGATCTTAGTGAAAATGCTTTTAAGATTTCACCCTTAGGGGACAGGCAGACTCTAGGACTAAGTTATACATTTCATGTTAAGGAAACATTGATTTTTATTGTTTTATTGTTTTTATCACTGAAGAGTGTTGAATTTGTCAAAATCCTTATTCAGCATCTATGAAATGGCTCAGCTAATTTTCATCTTTAGTGCGACCAATATATTAATTTATGTGCTAAAATGAACTAACCTTTAATTCCTGGAATAAATTTTATTAGATCATCACATTATTTTCTTTAATATTGAGCTCTCTTTACTAATATTTCATTAAGGATTTTTGTATCACATTAATAAATGACATCAGTTAGTAATTTTCTTTTTGTTTATACTTGCATTATCTTGTATTCATTTCCTATTGCTGCTATAACATTACCACACTGCCCTAAAAAAACATAATGGGTCTTACTGGTCTAAAATTGAGGTGTCAAAAGTTCTGAGTTCCTTCTGGAGACATTAGGGGAGAATCAATCCATTGCCTTGCCTTTCCCAGCTTTCAAGGCTGCCTGAACTCCTCTTTCATGGACTGCCTCCATTTTATTTTATTTTATTTTATTTTATTTTATTTTATTTTATTTTTTAAAGATTTATTTATTTATGCACACAAGTGCTGGGGTACTGGCCAGAGGTGGGGGGGGGGGCGGTGAGAGGATTCACCAGAGACAGAGTGGGGAGCAGAACAGGCAGACTGACTGAAATACACTGCTGAGGGGAGCAGCGGGCAAGACAGGAGAGGTCTGCTGCACCATGTGGGTAGCTCCCTGGCTGGGGATCAAACTCCATTTTAAAGCTATGGAGAGGGGCCTCCCTGATCGCTTAAGGAGTTAAGACACAGCACTGTGAAGCTATCCACAGCTACTGCAGCACAAGTTCAATCCTTGGCCAAGGAGGTGACCCATTCGGCACAGCAGACCTCTCCTGACTTGCTGCTCCCCTCAGCAGTGTATTTCAGTCAATCTGCCTGTTCTGTTCCCCACTCTGTCTCCTGTGGATCTTCTCATCCCCCAAACCTCTGGCCTGTACCCTAGTTCTTGTATGCATCAATAAATAAATCTTTTTAAAAAATATAAAGCTATGGAGAAATGTAACATCTTCAACTCTTATCTCTCCCCACCTCCTTCTCCCACTCCTCTTCTCCCTCCTGTGCTTCCAGGGATGACATTCTCTCTGACTCTCCTGCTTCCTTTTCCCTAAAAAAGACCCTTCTGATTATATTGGCTCCACCTGGATTCTTCAGGATTATCTCCCCGTGTCAGCCTCCATAATTTAAATCCCATCTATAAATATAAACTCTCCTTGGTTCATCTTAATTTTTGATTTAAAATGGTTTTCACATACCTCACATGCTTGATTGAGGAAATTTAACCTTTTGGATTATTATTATTGATTGACTATTAATTCATTGATTGAGAATTTTTAATTCATTTGGATTTTTTTTTCAGTTAGAGGCATTTTCATAATATACATTTTCATTATAATTTATTTTCTTTTATAATAATTTTGAATACATTTAGGTTGCTTTTATTAATTTCCAGAATCTGAAGCATTTACAAGATTCCTAGTTTAAGTAGACCCTTTTATGTCCATGTCACCAAGAATCCTTTTTATTTATTTATTTTTTATTACTTAGGGGTGGCAGTGGTTTGTGTGTCCAATTTTTTGTTTCTTTTTCTTACAGGACCTGAAATTTCCTCCCTTAGGCTTCCTTTTTCCTTTATCACCCAAATTACAAAGGATGTTTTCCCTTTCCTTTGTGTATCTTTTTCTCACCAAAGCAATGTCTTTCAAAGACTCATTTCATGCACACTTCTTTTTTTTTAAAGATGTATTTATTTATACATACAAGAGGTGGGGTACAGGCCAGAGATGCGGGGGGTAAGAGGATTCACCAGAGACAGAATGGGGAACAGAACAGGCAGATGGACTGAAATACACTGCTGAGAGGAGCAGTGGGCAAGACAGGAGAGGTCTGCTGCACCATGTGGGTGACTCTCTGGCCGGCCGGGCATCGAACTTTTTTAAAGATTTATTTATTGGTTGCAGATTGCTTCATAGTGCTATGCTTAACCTCTTGTGCCACCAGGGAGGCCCTCATGCATACTTCTAAGTCTCTTCTTCTTTGTCAGATTGCAATTATAGTACCTTATACATCGGTGGACACTCTGGTGATTGTTTCCAGTCAATTCTTGGCTCCATTTTCTCTTCCTTCTCTTTTCCATACTGGACTGTGTCCTAAGCATGGTATCCAGCTCTGCTGGGGTTCAATACTAACCTTTTTTTCACTTACAGATGATTTAAAGATCATAGATTTTTCTGTCTTCCAGTTATACTGAGGGTGTCAATTTTTTGTAGTTTTATTTGTTCTTTCTGCTAAGTTGTATTGCGCTGTGGGCAGTTAATCGCATTAACCTAGGCTATTTCTTTCTAAATGGTTCCTGGGCTCCACTAGACAAAAGATACTGTTTTCTGCAGGACTATAATCATTTTGGTGAGGTAGGAAGAGCTGATAGAGAAAGCACTGGTACCATTTTTACATGCTGTGAAAACCACTCAAAGTTTAATTTATCTAGGACATGGACTTTTAGGGCAAATGAAAATCAAAGAAAAATATTCAAGCATTTGATTTGAAGAGTTTAATTGCCTTCAAATTTGGTTTTATACTAATGACAGGAAGTATAAAATAAAAATACCTTACTAAACATTGCCTATTATATTAAGATAAGTTTAAATCTATCATTCAGACAACAACCCTCTAAGTAGTAAAGCTTTTATTACACAACAAGTCCCACATTTGACAGATGGGGACCAAAATGCACAGAGACCCACTCACATGATTGCAGAGATGACAAGGGTAGAGCCAGGAGGAAAAACCAAGTCCCCTGACTGATAGTACAGCGCATTGCCAGCACCAACTGTGCCCACAGAGAGTTTTCATTTATTTGATCCTCTTTCCAATTTTTTGTTAATCAGGTTTTTGGGTTTGTTTGGGTTTTTTTTTTTTTTTTTTTTTTTTTTTTGAAACTAAAGGCCAACTCTTGATAACAAATTAGTGAGGGAAATGCCCTTTATTGCTATTTTTAAAATTGACTCACTCTCTTAAAAGCAATGTCAGTTGCCTGTCAGAGGAGGTGAAATGTTTTCTGCAACTGATTTTCCACCTTCATCTCTCTTTTCACAGAGGACAGTTATGGGATGGATGGGAAGGTTAAACTGCCCAGTCTTACTGCAGACATCAACTGGCAAGGCCTGGAGGATTTATACAGTGTAAATGAAAGCATCTATGTGGACAGACAAAACTATAGACTTAGTCTGGGTGACTGGACTAATTACTTGAAGGATGTAGATAGAGTATTTGCACTGCTGAACAGTCACCAGGAGCAAAATCAAACAAATAAGCCCAAAACTGTTCAGAGGGATGGGTTCCTGGCTGGATCTGCTGAGCTCTCTGCACCAGTAGAGATGGCTTCCGCTGAGTCGGATGAAGACCCGCGGCAAAGGGTTGGGGAAGCGCCTCACTTGACCTTGCCAGCTGACCTGCGAACCCTGCATTTGAACCGACCAACATTCAGTCTAGAGAGTAAACTTGAATGGAATAACGACATTCCAGAAGTTAGTCATTTGAATTCTGAACACTGGAGAAATCATAAAACTGAAAAGTGGATGGATCATGAAGACAGAAATCACTTTGAAACCGATTTCAGTGGCAATGGCATGAATGAGCTGGCGCTCCAGGCCAGCCTCAGGCTGTGGCCTGATAGGCTGCAGAAAGAACTTCCCCAGGATGGTGGTCCAGGAAAAGATGTTTTCCAAGATCAGCTGTATCTTCCTGTGCATTCTGATGTTGATACTATGATCAGCATGTCCACCATGAAGCAGCCTATTCACTCCAGCAGCATGGAGAGGACACTGAGCAAGGTGGAAACAAACCACAAAAGGGGTAACTTGCAGCATCTAGAAGGCAGTGCCTCCTTTCCACTTTCCTCTGATTAGATGAAATCATTACCCTACCATGACACAGTATTTTTGAAACTTTTTATTAGTAAACTCATAAAGGTAATCATACAACTCACATTCCAAGCTACCCGAGGGCTACATGTACAGTGAACCAGTGCACGTGCAAGCCGTCTGCCCCAGGACTCTGTCAAGAAAGGGTGATTTGTGTTATTTGTCTGTCTGTTTGTTTGGGGATACTATAACAGTATTATCTTTTGAAAGTTGTAGGGACACTGCAAAACAATGTTATCCAACGAAGATGGCTAAAATTGTGCCTTTCTGAGATTCTAAGACTCCACATCTTCGGTGCATCTTTCAACGCACTTTCCCTGGCCTGCATAAGGTGGTTTTGATTCCTTTTTAGTCACCGGAATTCTTCAGTGCCATCATTTCTAGTTCAATGAGTTTGCACTTTGAGATCAGAATGCCACATCTATCTGATTAGTCTTATGTGCTTTACAGCCTTGTCACAAACCCCAAGATGACACACAGTATGGGTCACTTGTTGTTAACATACATACGCTTTTGCCAGGAAATATTGCATGCGTTTTACCTTGACTTGCTAAAATTGATTAGCAGAAAGGCATGGCCACTGATGTTGGCAATATAAATAAATAAATAAATAAAATAAAAACAAAGATTGCCTGCTCTCTCTGTGCCTGGCCTCAAAGTGATCATCTTATGCTTCAGAGTGCTGAATTTTTGCTATTTTCTTAACAGGCTGAAAGGACTGAAGATTTTTAATCCTTGTTTTGCTTTCTTGACCTGGCTAATAAGCTTAAGTGTTGAGAAAATATGTTCAGTTTTGAAGTTATATAAGGATTTTTCAAGAAATAAACTCTTGAATGTTTCATAATTTAAACACCCCATATGCATTGTATTATTTTTAAGGCCTTCACCAAGTTCTAATTTTTTAAAGGCATAAATTAAAACTGCTTTTAAAAGTCTATGTTCTTGACAATATTCTTGTTGTGTATTAGATTTTTAAGTAGCAGCAAAAGGTATTTTTTAAAGTCATAATTTAAAACTGCTTTTAAAAGTCTATGTTCTTGACAATATTCTTGTGTATTAGATTTTTAAGTACCCGCAAAAGGATTACCTCATTTAGAGTTATCATACCCTAGTCAACATCGCAAGGAGTTTTTTTCCTAGCTTAACAGTGATTTTCTTCTATGTTTAGAGGATTCAAATGCATAGGTAAATTATGGTTTCTTTAAGTGTTTAAGATAAACCTTTTAAAAGGAAATTTAATATGCTATAGTTGAATCTTTGATAGCTTTTAAGTCTTTATCATAGACTCTGTACATATGTTAAAATTAACTAGCTCTTTATCAGATGTGTGTGTCACCAGCTGAATGACAGAAGAAACATATTTATGGTCATGAATGATGTACTTTGTATAAAGGTCTCAAGTTATTAGAAAGCATACTGTGTTTTTTTAATCTTGTGTAATATTCTGTGATACTTTTATAGAACAATTCTGGCTTCATGAAAGTCTAGAAGCAATATTTCTTGAAATAAAAGGTCTTTAAACCTTACCTGTTTCAGAGAAATGAACTTAACCCACATTTTGTGGCGCACCTATTCCTTGAAAGTAAAATTAAGTCCTGATCTCAATTTACATGATAACATATTAGGTGTACTGGAAAAATTGACCCAAACTCAGTGTTATAGAACATTCTCGGATGAATGATTTCAACATGGGTTTTCCTCATTGCTGTCAGAGCGGACGAGGCACAGAGTACCAAGTTGGCTTCCCCAGCAAGCCACCTAGGCAGGTACAGTGAGAGAGGGTCAGCACCTGGTTTAATTTTCTGTATTGCCATCTTGCAATCCTTAACAATATTTGAACAAAGTATCACATATTTCCAATTGTCACTGGACCCACAAATTATGTAGCTAGTCCTAGGCAGCATAAATGGAGTTTTTTAAAAGCAAGAAGAGAAACCATGAAAGGCAGTATGAGTTCTTTGAGAACTGTGAACTTTGTTGGAAAGCTTACCACCCTCTAAGACTTCAGATTTTCTGATTGACAAATTCCATACACTTATGTCTGCCTCATATCTCCTGAGGAGTTTCACTCCCTTCAGATAGAAAGGCTAATAATCTATAAAATGTCTAGAGATCAGAAGGTAATTAATAAAGGGAGGGGAAGTGAGGGGCTTTAGGACCTGCCGGATCAATACTTGGATAATTATGGAAACCCATCTTTGTTAGTTTGCTAAAGCTGCCATAACAATATACCAAAGATCAGTTGGCATAAAGAACAGATATGTATTATCTCACAGTTCTGGGGACTGGAAGTCCAAAATAAAGGTGAAGGCAGGCTTGGTCTCACCCAAGGCACCTCTCTTGACTTTCAGATGGCGTCTTCTCCTCACATGGTCTCTACTGAGCATCTCTGCACCAGGACACCAGTTGAGGACACCAGTTGTGTTGGATTTAGGCCCACCATTATGACCTCACTAACTATCTTTTTAGCCCTACCTCCAGATACAGTCACATTGGAGTTACAGCTACAATATATGAATTTTGAGGGACATAATTCAGTCCTCAGTCTGGTCCATACGCTGGTTCCTTGCAGAAGTTGCTTTGAAGTCTGAAATTGCCTCTACCACTTTCCCCACTCCTCACACATTCTACTTCTAACACATCCCATACTCACTGCCAGCTTTCGCTCAGACATTTTCAGTGATTTTTAATGCCCGCCATGAATTTCTAGGCTTCCAGCCAGCCATGGGCCCCCATCTGCCTCACCCGTGACTGATATTAGCTTCCCCTAGGTTAGTGCCAGCTGCCCAGGTCTAAATTTTTCTCTAATTTTCTTTCTTTTTTTAAAAAAAGATTTATTTATTTATACAAGAATTAGAGTATAGGCCAGAGGCACGGGAGGGTGAGAGAATTCACCAGAGACAGAGCCGGAAGCATAACAGGCAGACGACTGAAAGCCCTGCTGAGCGGAGCAGCAAGCGCCACAAGAGAGGTCTGCTGCGCCATGTGGGAATCTCCCTGGGTGGCTGGGAATCGAACCCGTGCTGCAGAGGCTGTGGACAGCTTCACAGTGCTGCACTCAACCCTCTGAGCCACTGGGGAGGCCCTTTTCTCTAATTATCCATCCACCCTCCCAGGGAATGTCTCCACTCTCCATCTTAACATGTAGAGATTTCATCCAACCTCAATTCTCATATTATTTTGAATTTCACGTTTTCCTTCCATGTAAACACTCCTGGACTCCCACCACCACCACCAGATAGTGTATCTTTTCCAATTTGCACTCTCCCCCCAAGTAAGAGAAAACTGACACCATACCAAGACTGAGGCCAATAGGGTGAGAATTAACTGACCACATTCATAACCTTCCTCCCCCTGCCCCCCATTTCTGATCAGGAAACTTCCCTAATAAAATGACTGACATGGTAATGTAGTTGATTTACCTTCCCCTGAGTGAAGTTGCTGATTATGAAGATGTCACCAGCACATTCCTTTGGGCATGTAACAAGACCACTGCCATATGAACTAAGTAGAGAGGATGACTTTCAAAGATGAAATCTTTGCCACTGGGACCATGGAGTCCCTGATCCCTGACGTAGGCAAAGCATTGCAGAGGGTTGGGAGTGGAGCCATGAAGGAAGTTACAAATGCTGGATTTTTTGTGCTGACCCTTGCTTCTCTTTGCTGGCGGCAAATGAAGGGTGAACAAAAACCTTGGTGTTCTGAATACCTTTCAGTTCCCATGCAGTGGGCCTCCTAAGACTCTGAAGTTTTCAGAATCTTCCTCCTCTGTCCAATTCCTCTTCCCCCATATTACCCTACCTCTCAACCCCAACCATGCAGGTGGCCCATAGCCAGAGCAGAACTGATGTTCTAATAAGCAGGTTCAGCAGAAGAGATCCTCACGCAAGTCAAGCCCAGAACCCGAAGGGCTGATTAGTAGAGTATGTATTTTCCATAATGACCATTAGGTGTCACTCTAGTGCAAGTAAAGATATCTTTGTGCTGGGTCAGGGTCTGGGCCCTGGCAAAGCTGCCACTTGCATTGATTTCTAAAGTAGCCCTACCATTTTGACAAGAACACATCTAGAATAAGTCGATCCGTGCCAAGCCCCTTCTTTCTTCAGTATCTAGGATCTTAGCCATTTTAAAAGACCAATAGTTGTAGCTTTCTCCTGATTTATACTGTATTATGAATTGGAACTGCATCAAACTTTTGCTGTTTAAATTCAAAAATGAGCACCAAATATTGATCTCCTCACTTTCCAATGACTTTGTGCAATTAAACTGGCTTCTGGCTTCCACACCCAAAGTTACAGAGGCCACCTCTGCCCAGCTGGCAATTTTAAAGAGAAAAAGGGAACTGGAAGCTTCTTTTCTTTTCTATATTTTTACATCATTTTTCATTTTTGCACAATGTATGCATTTTCATCTTGGTTATATTCCCCATACAATTCCCACCCCCCTTATTTTGACCCTAATCCCTCCTCCCTTCCCCCCCCCCACCCTGTAGTGTGTCTCTGGTTTATAGCTGCTTGTTGACTTTGATTTTTACTTTATTATAATTAGTCTTTTTCTGGTCCCTTATTTAGGCTTTCTAGATTCCTGCTATGAGTGAGACCATCCGGTATTTTTCTTTTTCTTTCTGGCTTATTTCACTGAGCATGATCCCAGGAACTGGAATCTTCTTTTAACAGCTTTTAAAATACTGAGATTGCACCAAGTCTGGGGCTAAAGTAAGGAAGATAAGTAGTCACATTCACAACCTTTCTTTGTTTCTCCTCACTTCTTAGAAATTTTTTTTTCTCATGCATCTATTTTGAAAAGCCCAATGTCCAGAATGGCTCTGTTTCTCCACAGAAAGGAGCTACTTAAGAAATTCAAAAGCAATCCTTTTGCCTGAATTGAGAAGATGGGGGTTTGGGATACAGGATACTATTTGCTCTTTGCAGGCATGGCTTCCAGAGCAGGAAACAAGTAGTTACCCAGAAGTCAACACAGACAGGCACACATTCATCCCAATAATGCATGTCCCTCGGGCCACCTTGACCCTTTAGTTTCAGTGTGCAAAGGGGGTGATAGAGTGAGAAATGGAAATCAATTGCCCCGCTTTCCACCTATAGAGCATTCGAGGCAAAGTTCTAAATATAACCACGTCGCGCTTCAGTCCATGAGTCATGCTGTTATTTCCATGGCTCCTTTACCTCCTTCCGCCTCTCACCCAAAATTTTTAGATGCCTGTGTCCTTAGAAAACTCTTTCTATCAAAAGAGACATCAAAATTCAGCACTGCTTCTCCGTGGATGGAGTCTGAGCACAAGTTCTTTCTCCACTCTCAAGCCAGCTCTTGGGATGTGTGAGCAATTAGTTTGCTACTCTAGGGGAAATGGAACTTGCAACTGGTTTTTTTTTTTTTTTTAATCAAGGCTTGATATTTAGTTCTTTGGAAGTCATGCTTTATTATGTTTGAGAATTTCCCCTTTATCAATTTTAAGGATAATGATTGTACTCCTTTGGAAATCATTTTTGACCTATCCTAGTCCATTGTATGGTGGTGACTGATTCCCATCAAATATTCACCGTTGGCTCCTCTACACCTCGAGAGTCCCAGAAGTTTGGCAGGAACATGGAACTAGTTCAGATCATGAGCAGGAGTGATACGTGTCACTTTCAGGCTGAGAGAAAGAAAAGTTTCTTTCTCTTTCACTGGGCTCTGCCTTTCATTGCCTTAGCAACCAAGACCAATCTAGAAAGTTCCAGATGATACAGCTTTCAGATGCTAGAGCCTCTGTCAGATTGATCCCTGAGGGACTATGTGGAACAGACCTATGTAGATGTGTAATGCAAATGAGAAATAAACGTTTGTGCTACGAAGCCACTGAAGTTAAGGGGTTGATGAGTATGTTATTTAAGCACAACTCAGCCTAATCTGACTAACATAAACTAAATTCAAGATACATAATTCTGCAGTTCCATAGTCTGTTTGAATTTGAACAGATAAATGATGGACTACTTAATTAACCCTTGATAGCTGACTACAGGATTGAAATACCAAGAGCAAGGGGAAAGAACAAAGAGGGAAGGAAGTGCTATAGTCTATGGTGGTGGAATATGGTTGAATTTGGTGATGGGTACACTATGGTGGTAATACCTAATGGGGATACCCCAATATTACCTCAGTTAAAAATAAATTAATTTAATTTAAAAAAACAAAAGTGTTATCTGTGGTGATTCAATGAAAAATATGCTACTGTGGGTTTTTTGGTGTTTTGTTTTTTTTTGATTTATTTATTTATACAAGCACTGGGTACAGTCAGAAGCATGGGAGGGTGAGAATTCACCAGAGCCAGAGTGGGTAACAGAACAGGCAGAATGACGAAATACACTGCTGAGGGGAGCAGCGGGCTGCAGGAGAGGTCTGCGCGCCATGTGGGACCCTTGCCGGTGGCCGGGGTTCGAACCGGCACTGCAGAGGCTGCGGGCAGCTTTGCAACCCAGTGCTCAACTGCTGAGCCACCAGGGGAGGCCCTGCTTCTGTGGG